TGAATGAGAGGATATTAGGATAAAGTTTTTCCCTGTTCTGGTAGTGAGACACTGACCCAGGTTGCCCAGGTAGGCTGTGGCTGCCCCAACCCTGGCAGTGTTCAAAGCCAGGCTGGATAAAATCTTGAGCAATCTGCTCTGATGGGAGCTGTCCCTACACAGGGCAGGGGGTTGGGGCTGAATGATCCCTAAGGTCCATTCTAACCCCTTAACATGAGACTATGGTAAGTTTATTTCTAAGCACTTCTTAACTGAACAACATTATTACCTCTGATAAGCAATTAGTTACATGTTGATCCCACAGAGACATATCTACTCATTCACAAATCAAACTTTGTTTGCAATGTGACTTGTGCTGCATGACAACAGTGGTAGAAAGAGAATCAGGAACAGACTTATGGAAAGAAGCCATGGTTGGCTGTTTGCTGTGTTCAGCATTTGTCAGATTTACTTGGAAAACACCTTTAAATTTGGGCTTACCATTCAGCATTTGCATGTGATGTTGACATCATCTGAGGGAAGTCGATCAAAGTGACACGGTCATCATTATCCAAGATGAGGTTAAATTCATTGAAATCCCCATGAATCAGGCCATGATTGGCAAGTTTTACAATCAGGTCCATTAATTCACTGTAGACAGCAGCAGGATCTTCCACGTGGTGCACCTGACACCTGAAGAGGTAAATAAAACATTCTGAGCCTCGAAAGACTGAAGTTAAAAATACAGACAAGTGTATGAAACACACCTGACATAATGCCAGAGAGATTCAAGGGAAAAGGGCCCTCAGGTCTCTAGTCCAATGCTCCTCAAAGCTGAGTCAAGTCTGAGACCAGATCAGAGTGCTCAGGGCTTCACCTAGCTGGGGCTTGTAACTTCCAGGGATGAAAGAGAGACTGTCCAACTTCCCTAAGCAACCTGTGCCATTGCCTCTCTGCCCCCAACAGAAGGAAATACTCCTTATTCCCCAGGCTAAATCTCACTTAAACTCACACCCATCGTTTCCCATCAGGCATCACTGTCATAATTCATCATTTAAACAACAGATCAGTAATTATGTCTCTCCTAGTTTAGGTAATCTTTTGGTCTCAGTAGGCACTAAGTCTTCCTGTATTCAAATTCAAATGCCCCATGACGTTTTCTTACACAAAATCTATTTTCTAGACTTAGTGAGAAACAAACAAGGTAAATAGGC